TTGGGTTAGGGTTTAGAATTTTGAGTTTAAGGTATTGGGTTAGGGTTTAGAATTTTGAGTTTAAGGTAAACCCTAAATCCAAACGAACAGTATTCCTGCTTATTCAGGCCTCTATGCTAATTAAGCCACGAGATGATGTCCAGCTGGCTCTGGGCAGCTAAGATGCTGCCAAGACGCGCGGATTTAGGACACCGCCAGCGAGATGTGTGCGAGATTCACCTTGGGTGTGATTGGGTCCCGCCTGGCATTTTTTTTGGAGTGGCTACTTAGGGTTTAGGTTAGGGTTGAGGGTCTCAGCTATTGTGCGATATATCCCTGACCAGACAAGCGCGGACGAAGAGGACGAACCCTAAACCCTAAACCCTAAACCCGGGCCATGGTACGCAAAGCTGGTCGCCGCAGCTCATCCTAAAGGGCTCCTTCGGAAGCTGCATCAGCTTCTCCTGAGCTTCCGCACGCATCAGTAGAAGCCAAGGAATGTATAGGGCTCAGGGTTTAGGGCGGCTTTTTCGTCGGGTTTAGGCTCTAGGCATGGAGGCCTGGTGCCGTTGCAAAGGGGATGCAAACCGGACGGCAGTTGCCGTGGAAGTCGCGGGCTTGACAGCTTGACATTGCCGACGGCTTTGTCTAATCTGACCAGGCACGAAAGAATCGTCGGTGGCGAAGATGAAAGCAAGGACACGATTCACGTATGTCACCTGGGCTTGTACATGCCAAGGAAAATAAACGATGCCAACAGAGATTGAGATGACAGCGGCAACCCTAGACCCTAAGCCCGTAAAGCCTTAAGCCCCAAACCCTAGCACCTACAGTAAACCCCTAGACCCCTAAACCCTAAGCCCTAAACCCTAAACCCCTAGACCCCTAAACCCTAAACCCCGAAAGACCTAAGCCTTCAGAGCTTAGGCCGAAACAGATTCACTTTGCTCGCCCGGCTTGACCATGCGGATTGCCGCCTGAAAGGTGAAAGCAGCAGACTCCAGCTGCCCCTGGTTGTTATAGTATATTATAGTATATTGTAGCTTGTTCTAGTACATTAGAGTATATTCGTAGTTTGCTATAGTTAATTATGGTATATTACAGTAAGCTTTTGTATATTTGTAGCTTGTTATAGTATGCTATGGTATATTACAGTAAACTTTTATATATTACAGTTTATTGTAGTTTGTGATAGTATATTATGGTATATTACAATAAGCTTTTGTATATTACAGTATCTGAAGACTGGCACCGACCCCAAGCACGAAGCAACTTCACCGCTCGCCTGTAGGTCATCCTTCGTTACGTCGCCATACCAGTACACACACTTCTCGTCGCCGCCGAGGATAGGATCGTCGTTCTTGTCCTACACAGGACATCTGCTTTGGCGTCCCTTTGTAATATAGGAACCTGATTAAGAAACCCTGGCCCTGTATTAGGGTTCTTAATATAAATCCGAATATATGGGTTCTTAAGATGAATCCTAATATATGGGTTCTTAATATGAATCCTAATATTTGGGTTATAGGGCCAGGGTTTCTTAATCAGGCTTCTACAGTACTGAGGTTGCAGAAACCGCCTTGACACTTGACAGTCATCCCGTCTTGTGAAAACAGCTGAGTGCTGCACAGTGCCCTTGGCCAACTGAATGAGAACTTCCTGAAACAGCACGAGACATGAATTCTATGAGGGACACTCAGAAGTGCGCTTGAAATTGTGCTTCCTGGATTGAGGCAGCTCGGCCCAGATTTCCTAGTCCTATTGCAATTCTGGCTTCAAGCTGACACTTGATTTCATGCGAGAGGACCTACAGCCCCAGCAGAGTGGACTGGCCTCAAGCTGCTCTGGCGTGGAAAAGAACTCTTTGGCACGAGGGTGGGCATACCTCGCACCCAGTTTGACCACAGCTCGAAATGCTCAGTGTGTGTGTGTGTGTGTGTGTCTGCGCTTTACAATACACGGCACCATGTGGGTAGTTCTCTAAATTAGGGTCCCGTTTGGGGTACCCTAAACAATAGGTGCCGTATTATAATACGGACCCAAAAAGGGACCCTAATTTTGACAACCACCCATGTGTGAGTGAGTGTGTGTGTGCGCGCTCTACAATACACGGCACCATGTGTGTACGCATTTGCGTCTATCCACTCGTCTACGGATAAGTCATGGTAAGGCTCTCTCCCTGTCCCATAACATCCTCCTGCGACTACATGCGCAGATGTGCACCAAGTACTGTGCAAACATGCTTGTACATTTGGGCTTGTGTATGTGTGGACTGCTATGACTGCTTCTGCCAGGCAACTCACTCCAGCGCTCGACGGCAGCTCGCCTGGGAAACAGCAGCCACACGCAAATCGTAACCTTGAACCAGGCATCCTAAAACCTACCGTTAACCCGACAGCGAGCTTTTGAGCCCAATATCCTGATGACCGAATACCTACCCCAAACCCTAAACCCTAAACCCTAGACCCCAAGCCCGACATTCAATGATTCAACTTGCCAGCCCGAAATCCTAAAACCCTACCCGAAACCCTTGAAGCGAAATCCTACACCCGAGCTGGGGGCCTGAGAAGGGTCTAAGGGTTGGGGCGTGGGGAACATCAGCGATGAAGCCACCTAAACCCTAAACCCTAAACCCTAAGACCCATGTTAATGGCTTTGTTTTTTCTTTTACGTGCTGTGGCCCTTTATCAGGTGGCCTTTCGCATCCTAACTTGCAGTGCTGGTCTGGCGAGAGCGTCCGAACCCTAATGCCCATGTGAATGCAAGCCCTTACCGGAAGCTTAAAGTAGGGGCCTTAATAATTACCTATGCTTATTTGGGGGGGGGGGGTACTATTTTTGAGGGGGCTCCTTATTATAATATAGTATAGTATACCCCAAAACCCTACTCTATTTATTCAGGCCCCTATGTTATACAACTTCATGGATCCCTTATAGAACCCAAGGAAAGATCCCTTAGCAGAGGGTCTTCGAATCTCTAGGGGCTATAGGTCCGCCCTTAAAGGGCCCACGCACCCCGTAAGCCCTAAAGCCTATCTTCTATGAAGGTTTAGGGCTTATAGGGCTTATAGGGTTTATAGGGTTTATAGGGTTTATAGGGTTTATAGGGTTTATAGGGTTTATAGGGTTTATAGGGTTTAGGGCTTAGCTTATGGAACCCTATATACCCTTTACAGCAACGTCCCCCCCGTCAGCTCTCAGGGCATCCGAGTAGCACTTCTGCCTCGCTCCGTGCGTTGAAGGCGCTCATGTCACGCTTAGATACCGACTTCCTCTTGCCTGCGAGCCGTAATGTAGAAGCCTTAATAGTTAGAATAGGATTTTGGGTCCCATTATACTAAGAAGGAACCTCCAGAATAGTATTGGTAATTCTTTAGGCCCTGCATTAATCCCCTGAAGCCGAGATTCACCACCCGTAAACCTCTACATAAAGCCGTAATCCCCTAAACCCTGAAGAAACTCAAATCCCCTGAGAAGCCGAGATTCGTCTGTCTTCTCCTGACTGGAGATGAGCACGTTGCGGCCGGTCAAGTCGGCGTGGATGATCCTTTTCGGGTTTAGGGGTTTAGGGTTGAGGGTTTGGTGTTTAGAGTTTAGGGGCTTATATAGGGTTTAAGGTTGAGAGGTTTAGGGTCAGGGGCCTTGTTACCCTTATACTATGAATCCTGATATGGTATATGAACCTTAAACCCTTTTGGGGTTCTTTTCGTCCTTACTTGGAGGTTCACGGGTAGTTATAAGTGGGGTTATAAGTAGGGTAACTGTCATTACAACCCATATCAACGGACTTATACCTCCACTTATAACTACCCATGAACCTCCAAGTAAGGACTACGGCAACCCTAAACCCTAAACCCTAAACCCTAAACCCTAAACCCTAAACCCCTAGAATAGGGTTCTGGGGGCCTCCTTAATCAAAATTCTCGTAAAATATGCCTCAAGCCCTATTCTATTTATTAAGGCTCCTAAAATTACAGGATTGACATTCGCAGAGAACTGTCGTCCTCATGACGCCTGCAAAGCCTTTCCTTCAGAGAACTACCACGTCGGACTAACAATCCAGGAAGTACGTTACGAACTCCCTTTTGGAGGCTCATGGGTAGTTATAAGTGGAGTTATAAGTTCCCGTATATGGGTTATAATGACAGTTACGGCCGAAAGACCACAAACGGATCACCCAACCACCGTCGAAGAGAGAAAAGAATGTGTCGCAATGTTGGGATCCGTAGTGAAAACTCGAAGCAGTTGCCTTTGGAGGGATAAGCGGGCATAATACCGGGGCCTTAATAATTACCTATATTATTCCTTAGGGTTCGAAATTATAGTTTTAGTATAATGGGCCCCAAAACCCTATTCTAATTATCAAGGCGCTTACATTATTGAGATTCATGTGTCCAAACTGCGGTAGCCGAAAGCGACATGATACCATTGGGGTTGAGGGCTGTGGGCTTGGGGCTTGAGGGCTTTACAGGTGTTTCAAAGGTGATGTGCTCATTGTCATTCATAGAGACAGGGTTTAGGTTAGCATATAGGAGGTAGCAATTAGCGACTGAGTGTTGCTTACTTTTTGAAGAGATAGAGAGAACTATCATCAAGTAGCTGGTTCGTCAATTTCGTCCTGGCGACAGTGGGAGAACAAATGGAGAACTGTTTGCATGAAGACCGAGTCACTGAACCAGGTTCCGTATAGACTTCTTAGACTAACAATACCCTTATAGATTCCTTAAAGTAACCCTTATAGATCCCTTATACTAACCCTTATAGCCTCCGTTAAAATAACCCTTTCAGATCTCTTATAGATACCCTTACAAATCGCTCTGGCAACTAGTTGTGCAGGCGTGCAGCTGTCGAGCTTAAGCAAAGTACGTTCTGTGGGCAGCACTGTGCTTGTAGCTTGAGCGTAAGATCTCGCAGGTCGGATCGACGTTTCGGATTTTAACATCTGCCCCCACCTAAACTTCGGAGCTTTAACGTTCAACGCAGCCCCGGTAAAGTATGTCGTAAGTTATTGTCCCTGAGAGTGAATACATCCTGTAGGTAATTGTACGTACATGTATCTGGCATTCCGGGGATTCAGGACTTTGGGTGTGCATGTGCAGGTTTTTGGGCTGTCTTGGGCCGGTTTACAATCAAGGGCAGGTACCGTAATCAAGCTCTAAACTTTAGGGTTTAGGGTTTAGGGTCTAGGGTTTAGGGCTTAGGGTTACTATACCATCCTGTCTGCAGCCAAGTTGTCGACTTCTTGTGAACGTAGGCCATGCCTCGTGCAATGTCCAGCAGCGTCGCTATTGTGACGGGCATATTTGCCGGCCTGGCCCACCACGACCCACATGCACTGGGTCGCCGCGCAGACCCCACAGATCATGCGGAACAAGCACTGCGAAATGAAAGATCCAGGACAATGTAGATAGATGGATAGATAGATGGATAGATAGAAAGATAGATAGATAGATAGATAGATAGATAGATAAACAATTAGATGGATGAATAGATAGATAGATAGATAGATAGATAGATAGATAGATAGGCAGACAGACAGACAGACAGACAGATAGATAGATGCATAGATAGATAGATGGATAGATAGATAGATAGATAGACAGATAGATAGATAGATGGGTAGATAGCTGTATATATGTTCTTATAGCTATATGATAACATATCATAACTATGCAGCACAGGAGTAGTCGTTTTGGGGTGTCCTTATGGTGACAAGTGTCTTACTTTGACGTTAGGGGTGAACATCAAGATTGCTCCAAATAGCTGATGTACCTGTCTGCTGCCATGTGTGAGCTCCGCATAAACTTCCAAACCCCTAAACTCGCAAACCTCTAAACCCTAAACCCTCAAGCCTCAAGCCTCTAAACGACTAAACCCTAAACCCCTTAACCTCTAAACCCTGAACCTCTCAAACCCTAAACCTCCAAACCCTAAAGCCCCAAACGTCTAAACCCTAAACCTTAAGCCATACTCCGAGCGCTGTGCCCGAAACTCTGAAAGCCAGAAGCTAAAACCCCTCAAGCCTGAACCATGAACTCCAAACCCTAAACCTGCAAATCCCAAGCCTACACTCAACCCTAAACAATCGAGTTTAGGGTTTAGGGTTTAGGGTTGAGGGTTTAGGGGTGTAGGGGTTTAGGGTTTAGGGGTTTATGGTTTAGGGTTCAGGGTAAACAGTCGAACTCCAAAGCCCTAAATCCCTTCCGCCGCAGCACGAGGTGATCTTCTTCTCCACCCGCAGGTATCCTCGCTCAATGAAGCTGGAAAGATGGCCCAAGTCCTGATGCATGTCAAACACTGCGTTGAGGGAACACCTGCAAAAGCTGCATAATGCTGGATACGCGTTAATTAGTCCCTAAACCCTAAACCCCTAAACCCTAAACCAAAACCCTGTAGGGTTTAGGGTCCAGCATGGAGACATCCTCTCGACCTTGCCTTGCTCTACCCCGTGCCTGAGATGCAAGTATTCACGATTTAAGGCGTATGTGGGGTTTGCAAGTTTGGTGTTTACAGAGCTCTTTCCGACGGATGGGTGTACATCGCGAGCCTCATGGGATGACCCGTGGGCCATAACCCTAAGCCCTAACTCTAAACCCTAAACCCTGAATCCGAGAAAGTTGGCATTCCGAGCTGCACAAAGCTCTTGCACGATCCACAATA